AGAGACTGATTCTTTGAACCTTCGATCCTCATGCAAATTTTGGCAAAAAGACAGTAGGGTGGTGGTGGCATGCTAGGAAAATCATAATTTGATGTTGTCATTTTGCAACGAAGTTCTTGTTCTGAGCAAGAGGAATTTTCATATAAACACACTGCTTCAGATACATGCATACAGGGTTGGGTAGTAATTGGAGTCTGCTGTAGAGATCCATTTACGTCGTGTTCTTCGGTGGCATCATTATTTTCAAAGTTTTGTTTGAACAATTTTGAACGTTTTGACTGACGCTCTGTATATTATAGCGATGTTTTTCTTTGTTTTCTCAGATCGCAATAGACAATACAACATGTAGCACAAAAACAAGAGAGGAAAAGAGTTATTGGGCCGACAGCTCCACCCACCCTTTCAAATGTGCCAGGGTCATTATTAGTATTCCAAGTATAGAGATCTCCAAACCAACAATAGGAAACGGAAAACAACATAAACAACACCATAAGCAGGTTTTCCTGTTTCCTGTAAGTCCTTTCCTGTAACCAAACATAGTTTGAGAAAAATGGCGGGAAAAAATACCATTTGAACTCTTGATTTATTTTTAATCATTTGAATATAAATTCATACGATAATGTTTAAAAGGTAATGTGGAAAATTTTACAAGAAAGCAATAACTGTATCGTTTGTTACTGTGAACGCTATCGAGGATAATTTATTACAGCAAGAGTGTATTGCTAAAATATATAGACACGAATGTCGCGTATCGTTACCGGTACGGTAAGGCTTTAGAGAGGCACCGCAGTTAACTGCAAATATAGATGGACACTACAGAAGCAGACAAGCGTCCCATATTTCATAAACAGTGTTCCATGATATAAAATGAAACAGCAAAATTTTCATAGTGATTTCGGGTCCAAGAGGATTTGGAGAAAAGTGCCGTATTGTGCGGACCATACAGCGCACCTGATTATAAAGTGCACTGTCAATAAATTGCTTATAGTTTTTTATTTTTATACATCGGTCGTGCCGAACTAGGGGCGCAGCCGGTACCGTTACTGATTTTGGTGTAGACAACAAAGCATACTTACATATGTATGACATATTTCAGGGTGGTCCGAACCCAGGACCGCGGGCTACATGTGGCCAGCCGCTTCATTATCTGTGGCCCGCGTCGCATTTGCGCGAGGGTAAACTAAAAAATGGGCATTGGTGTTTTTCGTCATAAAAATAACCAGAAAAATCTTTTGACATATTGTTACATCACTAATGTCACTGAATTGACTAGTGTTATGGCTAGCTGAGGCAACTAGTGAAGTTGAATAATGTGTTTGGCTAGTCTAAATTGTTAACTGGCTTTTTATTGTTTTTGTCGGAAATATATGCTAACAAAATAAGCTTCATAAAAAACTGAGAATCGAATGAGGAATCTATTAGCAGAGCGTCACGCTAATAACCGAATTGCGTAAGTCATTGCGCAGTTTTGAGAAAAACGTAAAAAACTTCCTAATGATATTGTTATGCCATTGAGAATCAATAATATGCCATGGTTCACTTTTTTGATCGTAGCCGGATTTAATTTAATTTGTATGACGCAGTTAACTGACGTCATAATGGCGCACTGTGACTTAGGCAGAAATGTGGGTATGAATTGGGGACATACGCAATTTTGCAACTTTACTATATGCACCAGTCCTGAAAACTAAACATTCCAAAAACGAATGTAATTCTTAGTATCTACAATGTCTAATCCCCAAAATAGCTAATCAGTTTCAATTACATTATTTTTTATGTTTAAAAATATATATTTCATTAATATAACACGTTCTGCACACCCACTGAAATAAGACTAAGATTAAATATAAAGAATAAAACAGCAATGCACCCAATATATAAACCAACCAAGGTGAATTGGACTCGGACAGTAAATATCACAAGTGCACGCCTTCCTATACTGAAGTATAAATTCAAATTAATACGCACTAAGCTAGAATCCGAGATGCAAAAACTGGAAAATACTTCGCCGAGGTTATTTTGCCTTTGTGGCGTCACAATAGTACTGCGGTAACAAAGATAATTCATTATGACGAAACAATTGCACAAATGTGCATGTCATACTAAATCTCCATTTTTATGGGTTTCGGAATTCTTAAAATAAAATCTGAGTTAATAGGCAGCTGCACAGCATTACATAAATACCTATTTTATAAAAAAAAACTCAAAATCGCCAAAAATGACTTACGCAATTCGGTTATTAGCGTGACGCTAGGTTGGCTATGTCTGATAACTAAATATTACTGTAATGAACGAACAATATAATTCCTGTCTGTTTTTTTTGCAACCAGCCTAAACAGTATTACAAAAAATGCTACCTATATGTCAGAAAATTTGGTAATTACCCTCCTGTATCTCAAATTTAGTAAAATTCGGTAATCAATTTAATCTGCAGTTACTTGTAAGTTATTTTGTAAACATGAGTTTGAAAAGAAAGCTGACAATTTGAACAAATTTTTGACTGAATATGGGAGGGGGAGTACCACAATACTTGTAATATGCGTGCAAGTTGTGTCGATGACAATCTAAAACGGCATTTTTCCCGTTGGACACTTTCTCCGTTATGAAGTGTTTGAAATCTTACACTAAATGTAGATATGGTAGGATTTTCGCCCGTTTCAAAAGTTTTTTTGTGGTTTTTGCATATTTTAACTTGATAAACGACAAACGAGATAGCGCTCAGAGACCGCCGACTTATCGATTTAGCGGCGTGTATAATCGATCTAGCGGCGTGTATCCTTCGCTTAGACTCAGTAGCGACATTGCGTGTCCCATCACTAATTAATTAATAACTCGCCAATTATACGGCATAATTCATCCAAAGTCAATAGGCTCCTCCTGGTCCGACATATGATAAATGACAATGCAAAATTTGGAGCAGATTCAACTTCGCTTTCGTGAGATATTGCGTGCATCTAACAGACAAACAAACAAACAAACGAGAATTTCGGTCGGAGACCGAAGACTTATCGATCGAAGGTTAGGGGATCCCCGAAACAGCGCTCTTACTCCATAGCGACACCGTGTGTTTCATCACTAATTAATTAATAACTCGCTAATTATACGACATAATTCATCAAAAATCAATAGGCTTTTGATCCGAGCTATGATGAATGCACATGCAAAGTTTGAAACAGATTCAACCTCGCTTTCGTGAGATATCACTTGCATCTAACAAACAAACAGACAGACAAACAGACAAATACCTATCAACATTCTTACCGATCAAGATCGATAATTAACAATGATCAATGTGTTTTGACAATAAAAGTGTTCGTTTTGCGGTATCTATAAAAGTAGAGCCTGCTTTGCTAAAGCTTTGCAATATGAAAATATCTAATTCATTTTACTATTTTTTAAAAATAATAAATGGCTGTTCCTTCTCTACGTGATGTGGCTGTGGAAAATCAAATACCCATTTCTGTTGGATCGGTCCACGTAAAATTATAATGTTCAATTAATTCTGATACTGTCTACAACTGAAAGTTTTGTTTCATAGCCTCAAGGTGTCAAGTTAAAGAAACACACGCTTACGTTGGAAATCTTAATAAATGGTGAAATAATATTGATGTTCTTTGCATGGGCGATAGATATTCGGGAGTAGATTACTAGTTCGGAGCGTTTTGTATGCTAGTTTAATATAGTGAATAGCATATTACGTTCATCATATTTATTTGTCCATAGTAAGACTATTTTTTTCCTGTTGTGAATGTATTGCGTCGGACTCATTCATTGCGCTTTTCGTTCTAGACCAGGCTTTTGCTAGCTTTATTCTACGACACTGTTAAACCACGATAGAGGCAATTTCACAAATAACTAAAGAAAAAATAGGTTTTATTCAGCGAGGAATTGAAGCACCTTAAGTGCTGGAGGTAACGAAGCAGGGTGATTGATATGTTGAGTGGTAGCATTTTTTGGATGGTTTGATGATATACTATACTCAATGTCCATAAAAAGTGCCTTCTTAATTTCAATTTTGATATGAAGTCAGTTCTCAATATATCTTAACCAGAATTTATTTTTAATTAGTAATTGCAAGTATTCATCTTCATTCAATTTTAATACATCTGGGAGGGCCAAAACAATATATGGTATCAATAAGTTACCTCTGCAATTTTAAAAAAAATTAAGACTTTTTGGACACCCTGTATATCTAGGGTAACCATATTTTTGTGACTTCAAAGCGGGACGCCAAAGACAAACGATCCCTTGCCTGTGATTTTGTAACTTTACATTTGTCGATTTTATCACATAGGCCTACATTTAAAGCCATCCCGGCTGTCTTCGTTGATCATATTGTCATCGAGAATTCATGTCGCATATTCTCTGTCCAAATATCGGGTTCAGTTCGAAAAATGAAAAAGACTTGCCGTTAACGATACAAATATTCCGAATTTAGATTTTTTATGTACAGCGAAAGGAAGAAAGGATAATGAAATAGTCTGTGGTTTTGAAGCATTGAGAATTTACTTATTCGCCCGACAAGCATGTTTTTTTGTAGATAAAAAGTACTTCAGAAAAGACATTGTTTAATGTTACATTTCGTAAACGCCAGAACAAGACCAATTAGTTTTGACTTTACGACGCTCTCGAGAAGTATGTGCACCGAGATGGCGCACAACCTGATCTCTAACCTGGTACACATACCATGTTCAGGTTGTACGCATACTTCTTGACTTCCGGGAGTACCGATTTTACACGTGATACGTTCGCTGACAGTGTTAGCGGGAACCAACGTAACAAACAAGTAACGCATTCAGTAAGTAGGCTAGCGCTGCGCTCCCTCAGTGTATTTTGCATAAATGCTTAATGGCCGAACGCCAAAGCGGGACTTTTGGCCGTCTTTTCGAGACGACGGGACAATACGCTAAAAAACGTGACTGTACCGCCTAAAGCGGGACGTATGGTAAGCCTCTATATATCTAATCTTAGCAATGTATTTAGGCGGAGGTTACATTTGGACACCTTTTCTAATCCAAATATTCCATCAGATTGCGCGCAAATGCAATTATTTATAACATAATTCTCTTGGAAGGTAGTGTGGAATAAAGAACTGCAATACAATGGTTGGACAATCCATGGAAGAATATGACGAGCTTCAGGCTCAGTACGAGTATGAGCAATATGTTTGGAGACGTATGTATTACGCCTAAAAAACTGTCAATTTTTCTCTCGTTTTGAAGTAGCATTTTACCATGTTTCTGTAATCAAATTTTCAATTAAAGGAAATATTAAATTAAAATAGGAGATGATATATTTATATAATATTTATTGATTATGAACATCATAACATAAGTTATTTCCTATCAGAGTGTGAATATCCGCATTTTGACGAACGAGGTACGCACAAAATATTTTCAGATTCGTTCACTCTGAGAGTCTAAGAGATTCGTTTTTTGTGTGTGATGACGTCATCAAATTTAAAAATAGCGCTTCTTGTAGCGATTTCATTTTCGAGTTAGCGATCTTGCAGTTGTGAACACTGCGGGTACCGGCAGCGTACTGTGTAAGACTGTAACTGTATACGCGTACCACTCCATTATACTCTTATATATTAGCATCGCTCTCATATATTATAATATATATATATTGTTTTTTTCGTATTTCAGGTCGAAAGGTTGTTTGTTTTTCAATGTTTATCATTGTATATCTGGCCTTGATTGTTACAACGACCACAATTGCTGGCTTCAATAGGGAAACTGTAACGCTCATGGGTGTTGGATTGGCTCTTGTGTTCATAGTTGTATTTTTCTGTACCGTCGCTTATATACATGTACACAACTTAACGTGCAATATCTTTGAAAGAGCCAGCATTTGTTACAAAAGACTAAAATCATTTTGTCAGAATTTGAAATCCAAAGTGGACGAAAAAATGATTTGGCGAAGTACTATAAGTTCGGAAACAACATTGGACTATGACGAAATAAATTCGAATAACGCTGGAACTGAATTTGCGTCACACCAATCGGGAAAAGATGGCGAAGACGAGTCCACACCCCTACTTTTTATTCGCTCGTATTGACGAATGAAACAAAAACTTATAAATCAGACAATAATTTGAAAAAGTAAACAAAGTTTTTGGGGACGAAGCTTTTAATTTATATTTTCAATTAATTTCATGTCACGTATTCTAAAATATATACATGTATATATAAAGGCCAGGATTACAAGGTAAAACGTTTATTCGGAAAACTCTTACTTAGAAGAGTATATGCTTATAGTTTCAAAATTTATTTTAAAATATCTTGATAACTGGGTCCCAAGACCAATATAGGTGTTGTCGCAATATTAAACAATAGATCGGTTTATAAATTACGAGGCAACTTTGGTATGCGATCTCACTTGCGTAACGTTTAATTTCAACCCTAACTAAAATCACTGAGATCGTATATCAAAGTAGCACCCAAATTGCATTCGCTTTTTACGTTTGCAATAGCTTTTAAATGGAGTGCCAAAAATTTCTATTTTGCATACCTTTTCGATAATGCTATTGAAAATATACTTTTGACGTTGCAAATATAGACCGAATATATTATACCGGGTTTTTGTGCAAACAACTCGCCATTTTGAATTTTATACGTCCCGCGAAAGGTTGCTTTGGTGAAATGCGCGTGGCATAAAGTTTACAAAAATCTTGCATAGTGCAACTGTCCCCTTCGACAATGACTTGAGAATAAACGGGAATTCATGACGATTGTTTACCTTCAAAAACTAAAAATAAAAAGAGAGAGAGAGAGAGAGTAATGCTCAAATACAGGTTTCATTTATTTCGTGACACCTTATATATGGACACGAAGGTAGCTCATCGTAACCGGTAACTTAAAAAACAATAAGATCCTCAAGTTTGCTGAAAAAAGATTGGTGGACAAGTTATACGTAAAAAAATTGTCTTCTAGCGGTTTTATCCATCTTCAATTACTGAGAATTCGGAATCGGTTGGTTTATTTGTTGCGGAAGAAACATTAACAGGATAACCAACGGTGAGTTAAACATTACGCAAAATAAGCACTTGCCAGGCAGTGATTTTCCCTATAGGGGTGAACACCACCCTACAATTTCAAATACTTTGATTCTTAAATAAAAATATATTCGAATAATTAGAATGGGGCTCATATGCTATTGCAGATGATCAGTCAAATAAATACAAAACACATTTTCATAAATTATACATAGTTTTATCGGACCTCCTGAAGTATGCGCACCAAGATGGCGCACAACCTGAACTTAGGATGTGTACCAGGTTAGGGTTCAGGTTGTGCGACATCTTGGGGTGCATACTTCAGGAGTACCGTTTTATCACTGATAACAAAATAATACCCTCCCTTCTTGACCCCCTCCCTGAAATAAAAAGTTGGAGAACATATTGTGCTTGGAGCACCAAGAGAAACAGGGCACCACAGAAATTTTCACAGACGAATTTTCAATGGTGCATGATGCAATGGTGTTTAATAAAACAATTCGAGTGGGTTAGAAACTGATACTTACTTGCCTTATTCAACTTCAGATGAAATGGAACACTAGTTTCATCATTAATATTATATGTATGCCATCATGTTTACAAAAAATCGAAATAACAACGAGAATTTTAACTAAAACGTCTCATTGAGGTTTGCTAATACCAATATATTTACCCACGTCTCGCCACCCAAGAGGACTTTCTCCTCAGTGAGGAATTTAGTTTTATATTTTCTGTTGTATTACTAATATTCTTTAGTTCTTTATTTTTACTATAATACCTATTTATGCACACATCCCAACTTATAATCCCACATTACATCCCACTGTACAAAAGCGACAGAGTGACCCGCGCATAGCACTAGTTAAGGATGCAATCAGGACTGATTAAATAAAGGGATTTCCATGTCCAATGGAGGAGGAATAAAGAGTGCCAAAATAGTCAAACGAAGGAAATCAACAAAACAGTTGGAAACCACTCTTTTAAACAAAGTCAATGTCGTATTTTAATAATGAGGCGTGTATGGGGATTTTGAGATCAAGATCATTCAACAATATATAACAAAATGTATATTTCAAAAAATTCATCGTTGACGGAACATTTTCTACATCAAAATAGCTACGTCATAACAAGGAGGGTCTTTACCACTAGATTGCGATACTGAGCAACCAGTTTGTTGTTCTTCGGAAGAGGCTGATTCCCGTGATTCCTTGAACCTTATATCCTCTATGCAACTTTTGACAAAAAGACAGTAGGGTGGTGGTGGCATGCTGGGATATTCATCTTTTGACGATGTGATTTTGCAACTACGTTCTTGTTCTGAGCAAGGGGAATACATATTTCCATATAAACACACTTGTTCAGGTACATGCAGACAGGGTTGGGTAGCAATTGAAGTCTGCTGTGGATATCCATTTACGTCGTTTTCTATGGTGGCATCAATATTTTCAACTTGTGGCGTGACATACGTACAATCGTGTGGTGGCAGATCATAGAGATTTGTACTAGATCTGCTAGAGTTTATTGTCAATGAGTTTACACTGTTGCTGGGTGAAGATGATGCTTGGTGACTTGAGGCATTTGGCAAAGGCGTTCGTGCCATTGATTTTTCATGGATGTTTTCAGGATCTGGCGCAGTATTTCGCATTTCCTGATTGCCATTTTGAAAGTTTTCACTGACGCTCTGTATATTAGAGCGCTGTTTTGTTTTTCTTTGTTTTCTCAGATCGCAATAGACGATACAACATGCAGCACAAACATAAATAATGGAAAGAGTTATAAGGCCGACAGCTCCACCCACCGTTTCAAATGTGTCAGTGTCATTAATTAGTATTCCAAGTATAGAGATCTCCAATCCAACAATGGGAAAAGGAAAACAACATAAACAACACCATAAGCAGGTTTTAAGTCCTTTCCTGTAACCAAACATAATTTGAGAAAAATGGCGGGAAAAAATAAAATTTCAACTTTTGATTTATTTTTAATCATTTGAATATAAATTCATACGATAATGTTTAAAGGTAATGTTAAAATTTTCCAAGAAAACAATAACTGGATCGTTTTGTTACTGTGAACGCTATCGGGGATAATTTATTACTACCAGAGTGTAATGCTAAAATATATAGACACGAAAGTCGCGCACCGGTACAGTAAGGCTTTAGAGAGGCACCGCAGTTAACTGCAAATATAGGTGGGCACTACAGAAGCAGACAAGCGTCCCATATTTCATAAACAGTGTTCCGTGATATAAAATAAAACAGCAAAATTTTAATTGTAATTTCGGGTCCAAGAGGATTTGGAGAAAAAAGTACCGTATTGTGCGGACCATACAGCTCACCTATGTATAAAGTGCACTGTCAATAAATTGCATGCATTTTTCATACATCGGGCGCGCCGAACTATAAGGCCCAGTAAGGCGCAGCCGGTACCATTACTGATTTTGAGTGTAGACAACAAAGCATGAAGCACTGCCTGATCCATACACATATATAACGATACTTACATTTGCATGGCATATTTCATGCGAAGGGAACCCTTGTACGTTGACGAAATGTTACGTAGTTTTGACGTATTTTATATATAATATATGATCTTTTAAAAACAAACACATAATTTATTGTAAGACCTGAGGGATGAACGTAAATCTAGCATCTTTATGTATAAAATTTGCATTTTACATAATTCCATGACCTCACACGGGCTGTAAATGAGTCCCAAAGGCAATGTGGAATCTATAAAAGTAGAGCCTGCTTTGCTAAAGCTTTGCAATATGAAAACATTGAATTCATTTTACTAGTTTTCAAAAATAACTTATGGCTGTTACTCCTCCTGCGTTGTTTAGCTGTGGAAAATCAAATTACCGTTTCTGTTGGATCGATCTACATCTAATTGTAATGTTCAATTTATTCTGATGCTGTACTGTCTGCAACTGAAAGTTTTGTTTCATAGCCTCAAGGTGTCAAGCCAAAGGAACACGCTTACGTTGAAAATCTTAATGGATATCGACAAAAATTCGAGATAATATCATTAACGAGAGATTAAAGTTTGCCACAGTTCGTTTGGGTGAAAACTTTGTTGAAATAAACATTTTTTTAGGTTCTCTTCGTAATTTTCTCGCATTTTCTCTTTTAACAAATCTCTGTGTAAGGAAGCGCTTCAAGTTTTAGGGACGTTTGGAATTTTTTTAGGGACGTTCAAGGGTTTTTTAAGTTTCTCTCTTTGCGCCAAATCATTGTTTGATCGCTTTGTCCCAATCTCTGAGATTGTAGTTTATGTATATTGAGTGTTTCTGCCAAATTAATGTAATGTTAGCTGTTATGATTTATTTTTCAAATGAAATGATTTCTCGAGGAACCTTGTTTGCTCTGTGCGTTGATTGAATTTCTTATATTTCAAATATATATATATGTTTTTTCTCTTTACGTAGCCCTGGTCAATCACCACAAGCACAAAAAGTGAGATTGGATACGCTATATAATAGTTAAAAGATTCCAATGCTACTTTATTCATTGCAAATCCTTTCCTATACTACTAAAATTCTTTTTAACATTTGCCGTCGTATTCCTATGTATTGCTTTTGTTAGTTCGATCTGACAGAGACTTGCTACCTGATAAAGTCGGAGCCCGGTACGTTCAGGTCTGGGCATTTTAAATGGAATATTCGAATATTAAATTAAACCACCGGTTCTGGACCAGAGAGCCATGGCCATACATTTTCAGATGGACCAAAAATATATTAGAAAACGCTGGAGTTATTGAGGTATTAGTATGATTTGATTGAAGTAGCAATGAATGGTGATGCTTTTTTGAAACTGTGTAGTAATTTTCCATTTGATTATAAAAAGTGTCAGTGTCTATTTTTGCAGAAAGTATTTTGGTACTCTCAAAGTATGTGAACCAAGATGGCGGACACCGTAAAGTAGTGTGTGTTCCAGGTTATGGTTAGTCAAGAATTTTATTCCAATTTTTCTTATTTTAGTTCTATTACGAGTTCGGGGACTAGCCAAGCGACTCCCATAGTATTTGTACCTGAAATTATGGCCTAACCCTAATCTGGTGCACATACTTTTTTCTTTGTAGTTTTCAACTTGCATGTGCAAGTCGATGACCCACAGAATTTTTATGCAACAAAAGTGGGCCACAATTTTTAGGAAACAAAAGTGTAACAGAAAAGAAAAAAATTGAGAACCTCTGCTTTAGACGGAAATTTCAAATCGCCGCCGTCTTGTTTCTTTTGCTAACCAAAGGTCGAGATGAATTGCTCAATTTTTTTTATTGAAGTCATATTTACGAAATGCAATTCTTTAATATGAATTGTGAGTGATGAAACATGTTTCTGATGTGTGGACACTCAGCAAATTAACTGAGTGATGGATTCTATTTTTTCAGTGACCTATTTGCCTGGAGGACCAATTACAATAAGAAAGTTGCATGCAATTACAGTGCATATCTTCAAGTATTCGAGATTCTATTCCAAAAAATATTTGATTCGAGTCTGAAATCATTAGGTATTCGAAAATGTCCAGCCTTACGAAAATGTTTTTCGATCGCAGATAAGTTGAATAAATTTCCAGAGTAAAATAGATTCAGTTTCATTCTCGTGATTGATGCTTGGTTTCTTAAACATTTTTGTCGAATATATTGCTTTAGTAATAATAGTAATATCGCAAACATCAAATTCATAAATATAATTGATTTACAATCTAACTAGACAAAGGTGTGCAACATTTTTGTCAGTGGGCCATATAACCAACTTCGAAAATCTAGCTGGACCGCACAAATAGAGAATGCGACTATCGCTTAGCCTTACAGTAATAACGGCACCGGGCAATGGTTCAATGCAGCGGCAAGAGCAAAACACATTATGTATTTATACCCACGTGAATGCATTTTTAATAAACAAACTTTTGATCAAGATTTTTATACTTGATGGGGAAAAACTTGAGTGCTAAGAAGGGCCACACTAAATGGCTTGGCCGGCCTGGTAGTGGCCCGCGGGCTGCTGTTGCACGCACCTGAACTAGCATATATAATTATATAGGGAAGTGCACAACGGGATTTGACACGTTTCGACGCCCGTGCTACAATGAGATCGCAAACGCAGCGTTGCAATAATCTCACAATAGACGGAAACCATGATGCGCCAATACTTTAAAAATGCGATCAGTAAAATCAGTGACAAATTGCGGTTAATATTATCATTATTAAGCAAAGCTTATCACCGCCGATCAACTATAAAATATTGAAAGCAATATAAAACAATGGGGCTGTGATAGTATTAGTATAATGATGTTGGAACAATATGAAAATCATCATATATACGCTAAAACAAGTAAATTCAACTTATTCAATTTATTTATGAAATATTTGAATAACAGACATGACCCAAGCGCCATATCGCACTGCAAGAGAGAAATAAAACGAAACAATATGCAGGTTCAATGGTATTCAGCGATGGTTAACCGGAGTGCGGATAAGGATTTTACGCAGGTACTCTGTTTTTAAGGTTTCAAGGTTAATTTAAGGTTTATTGCGTGATTTCAAAACCTCCGGAATTAGAAAATAAGATTATAAAAATTTCTGACGGTAGAGACCAAGTGCTCGTACAAAAAATTTCGAATTCTCCTTCGTGCAAGAAAGCGAAGTTTAAATTTTTGTCAATCCAGAAACAGGAATCAGAATTAATTTGGTAAAAACTTTCCTTTGATTGGTCGGACACCGGAACGTAGTATGTGTACCAGGTTAGGGTTCGGCTATAATTTTATTTCAATTTCATTTATTTTAGTTCTATTACGAGTTGGGGGAATAGCCAAGCGACTCCCGTAGTATTTGTACCTGAAATTTTGGCCGAACCCTGACCTGGTACACATATTACGTTTCGGTGTCCGCCATCTTGGTTCATATACTTCGGGAGCACCGATTGGTCAGAAATGGAATTATAGTTAACATTAAATGTTTCTATGTTAACTGTAACCCCAATTTTGACTCCTTCAGTATATATTCTAGCAGTACTCCGTATTTGTCAAGAACCTCAAACCTATATCAAAGAAATGGCTTCCCAACGAGACAATCAAGAACAGACTAAAAATAGGTATGAGAGGAATTTTGTAAAATAATTTTATAACTAATTTACGGAGTTTAACCAGTAATTTTCTTTCGAAAATACCAGAAATGTACAATATGGGTTTCCGGAACACCAAAAATTTATTGTCAAAACTTGTGATTTTACTAACCTTGCAGAAAGAAGTGATAGAAACCAGGGCGCTCCAGTACTATGTGTACCAATATGGAAGTAACTAATTTTGCTCGCCTACTTTATTTACATCAAGTTGATTGTAGGGACTTGAACCTATGGATGGGGGGGATATTACACTTGGCTAACACAGACAGTCCCCGAACACATAATAGAACTAAAATAAGTAAAAACGGAATAAAAAACTCTAACTTGGTATACATACTACGGGAGTACCAAAACCAGTAAGGGTAATGAGTAAAACAAGTATTTGAAACGTAATTAATTACAAATCCCTGAATTTTCGAGAGAAATATTTACTGATATTTATCTGTTTAAAAAAAACAGGTTAATGTTTTCTGATTCACATTTAGTATTTATCAACATTTTTCTTTTGATAAAACAAGTTTTTTGGGAGTAATACGGAGTATCTTTATTAATATTTTCCGTTCTTATAAAACAAATTACTGCTTTCTCTACAGTGAAAATGAGTGTTTACTAATATTCAGAAATAACCCAACTGTTTTCCAAGTTTTTTCATTATTTCAAAATACTATATACGGTCAAAACTATGCTTACCCCCCGTGATTCTAGTAGGGGCGGGCAAGGTTTTTTGATCAGGGGCCACAAAAAAAATTCCCACCTGAACCGGCCGGGTCATGTAAGCGTGACGTCGAAAGTTACATTTTATGAGCAATATTCACAGTGTTACAAAAGCAAAAATGAAAAACAATGAACCAGGTGATAAAAATAAATTTAATCGCCATCTCAACAATATCCTTGAGCTATTTTTTCTTTAGCTAAATTATCAAAGTTTGGTTTCAGTTTGATTGTGGCAGCATCATGCGGGCCATATCGATTGCGGGCCATTACCCAACGAGTCGGATTTGACCCACAGGTCGTAGTTTGTCCATATCAGTTCCAGCTGTTCACCGACAGTTTTATAATTTATATAGTTACCAATTTACACGAGACGGTTAATACGTTCACGCTCGGCTCTGTAGAATTTTGGTATTATGTATGAAATAGTTGGCATGAGGGAAAAACCCCAGATTCCTAAGGAGGCCATGCCATTGAAATTTCGATCCTCTAGTCTACGTCTTGAATGTAAAAACGCAAACTTGTATATTTATATTTCACATTTAGCAAATGGTCTGCATCGAACTATGACGACGCAACTTATTTGTATGGGGAATCAGGTACGTAATGCAAAGGATCGAGAAGCAAAGTATTTTCTTCGTCTGAAATAGAATCGACAAAGTCGCTTTATTACAATAAATTTTTAACTCACCGTGCATAAAAAAAATCTTCCGCTAATTCATCGTAATTAAACATTTTTCTCAGAATCGACAAAAAAAAACGTTCAGGAATGTTCCCAGAAAATCCAAGGAATAATGGAAAAATAATATTTTTTAGCGAATAGTAATAATTAAAATAATTAATTAAGTAGTTCAAAAGAATAAAAACAAAAGAATAAAGCATAACAACTGCAATAATGTCAAAAATATGTCAAACGTCCACAGTTCAGTTTGACCCATAAAGCAAACTTTCAGCTTCTATTCCTTATACTAAAGTATTCTCATACAAAGATAATATAATCAAAATAATTTGCATTCAGAAAAAGAAAGCGATTACGAAGACAATGATTTCAGTACAATCAACACTGCACAGCTTACTTCTTTCGGAGACTACTCTTCTGATAGAAGAAGTTTAGAACGTGATGCAGGTAAAATTAAAGACAAAATTTTACTCCCATCTTTTGATTGACAAGAATTTCAACATCTTTTCCAAATCCCAGCTCAGGTTTCTGAAGAAATAAAGTCCTGCTTTTTCACACATCTCCAGAATTGTTTTTTTTTAGTCAAAAAACTCTTTTTTCTGAAATTGTTGTCAGAGTCAAAGTTCTATTTTGAACGCTTTGCAAGCTAAAACTCTTACGAACGTAAGAGTACGTTCAGCACATAACTGTGACGTGATAACGGAGTTAAATATTACTCTGACTCTATAAATTAACCAAATGCGAAAACAAAATATTCATAGATACAAAGCAAAGACGATATCTAGTCCCATCATGTAATGTGTTATGGGAGTTCGCAACTTGTGTCCTGCGGGTCAAATGCGATTATGCAGTCAGAGTTTGGGTGAAGAAAGCAGATTGCACTGGAAATTCAAATTTTTAATCATTGCGACCGCTAACCGTAACTGGATAATTACTAATTTGTTATTTTTTTGCCATAAAACAAACGTTTATCTTGTATTACCTTATTATACAAAGGTATCCTCATACAAAGATATTAACATCAAATTAATTTCCATGTAGAAGAACAAAGCGATCATGGAGACAATGATTTCAGTACAATTAACTTTGCGCAGCTTACTTCTTTCGACAATTATTCTTCTGATAGAAGAAGTTTAGAACGTGATGCAGGTAAAATTAAATTTCACCTTGTCTTCTTATTGACAAGAATTCAACACCTTACCCAAATATCAAATCGGGTTTCTAAATAAATGGACTGTTGATCTCTTTCACAACTGCAGAATTGCTTTTTCAGTCAAAAAACTTGACTTCGATTTTTGCTGAAATTGTTGTCAGAGTCAAAGTTCTATTTCAAACGCTTTGCAAGCTAAATCTCTTAAAAACGTGAGAGTACGTTTATCACATAGCTCGTGTTTTTTTCAAATCTCGCATTTTTTCATTCGTGGCATGGACTTTGTACAAAGGATCCCCCACTTATAGTAGGAATGTATAAAAAAAATATTTCTTGAATAAGCACAGGTAATTTGGTAAACTTCAACAATTTTCATTTTAATATTTATTCAGCTCATACATACTCTATTAAACGTAATCTTTCAGGTAACTTGGATCTGATTGTAATATATTCTATCATGGAACGCATTAGAATGCTAGAAAAACGAATAGAAGTAATGGAAAGTCGTTTATCTACAGCAGAAGAACTGTGAGTAGCCATTGTGTATTTTCGACTTCTTAGCAATCCATTTGTAGATTTGTAGAGTTAGAATAAAGTTCTATCCGCATATGATCCCGTGCGATCTAAAAATGCTAAAATTTAAATATAAAATTCAGGAAACAAGAAATGGAATATTATTAATGTTTGGCTGCAAGTACGGGAATCGATAACCCAAGAATTTGTTTTCCAAGAGTCCACAAGTTCTGCTCCGCCGAAACATTTCGATTTGAGAAATTCAAAAATCTCGTTATCCCCTCGTTCCTTAATTTGCCCGCTTGTCCTACTTGTAAAATTGCTTGAAATGCCGGACTTGTCCCATTTGTCTTGTACTTGTCGCGCATGTCTAATATCTGTACCATACTTCTTCCATATTTGCCTTACTTGTCTCACACTTGTAATATATATACGTAGAAGCGAATACCAAGTGGAGGAGTGGGTCAAGCATACACGACAGTTTTAGGTTCGAAATGTACTGTTTGTCTCACACTTGCTCGATATTTATTCCACATTAGTCTTTGTACTACACTTGTACTGCACGTGAAAACGGCCATCTAGTGTGGTACAGTTCTTGAAGACATGGGATTGGTCTTTCATTTTCCTAGTCTTCGCATACTTGCGTCATAATGCGCATGGATGATATTATACTCTCCCAGATTGTGAATTTATTTATTACAAGTCAAATTAAGTTTTATTTTTTGAACAAGTAAAAATTGATCGAACACAAATTACGAGAAAAAAGTAAGCACATAGTGTTACTGGAGAATGGAAGCCGCTGGGAGCCAATCATTCCTATTTAGTGGCGACACTATAAGCTTTAATATCCAATTGTAGTTCTGAGTTTTCTATTATTGTTGTTGTCGTGTGGTATGGCTTCGGCAATCAATCAAGGAAGCTCTCTAGAGATTATAATAAAAAGTCATCGTGTCAAAGGATTTCTCAGATTTCCCTGCTATTTTTGGACTTGTGTCCGGAAGGCAGCGATTCTTAATATGATTGAGTTGTATATCTAACGTTCCTTTCTATGTGATAGGTATGAAGTTTATTAACTATTTAGAAGAAACTCAGAAGCTGAGACCATCAAGCACACGAAGATGGAAACAAAAGTAAGAAGAAGCGAATGAACTAAAACGTCCAGATTTGTGATTAAGAATGACTTTTAATATTTTTACGAAATTACGAAGATGACGTGCAATGAACTCTTTTTTATAACAGGAAGTTTTTCCGGAGTGTGTTACGTCTTAATTCCAACTAAGTCTCTAAACTATCACAAGAAATAACAATCGCGGGAGTAGAACCCAGTACTATAAATTCGATGTCAACTCAGTTGGGTCATCGCTTTTCACGACGTCACCCTAGCAATAGGTCGGAATTCCTCCACAGTTCTATAAAATGCATGCTGAAAATCCTATTAAATTACTGCTGAATCCGTATACAACCAAATATATTGTTTATAACAGAGTGTTTAGGTGGGAGCATTCGTGCCAAATAGCACGATTGTTTTTAAAACTATCAAAATATTAGTATTTCTGGTATTCAACATACAGCGACTATTATGGTTATCAATTACACATTATCAACATCAAAGACTTACAATTTATACCACAATATTCATCATCAGGTAATTTTACATTGAGCTTGGCTATGGTGTGAAATGGACTCCCGATGGACGACAAAACTGGGTAAAACTTGTCAGCGGATTTCTAATGTAACAGCAGCCGCTTCAACGTAGCGATTTATTGAATTAAGAAGAACTCAAATCCTCCCAGTTCAACATAATTGTTGGTACGTAGTATGCGAACCAAGATGGCGGACACCGTAGTATGTGTACCACGTTAGGGTTGGGCCATAATTTTATTTCAATTTTTCTTATTTTATTTCTATTACGAGTTCAGGGACTAGCCAGGTGACTCCCATAGTATTTGTACCAGGAATTATGGCTAACCCTGACCTGGTACACATACTACGTTCCGGTGTCCGCCATCTTGGTTCAAATACTTCGGGAGTACCAGGCGGTTTAATCACACGCAAAAAAAGAGATGTACCGCCTGAAGTGGGCAAGGCCCACCCAATATTTTTGCTTAAATTCTGACAAAGTATTGATTGCATAGCGAAACTTTATTTTACAAATTAAAGTCGAAATCACAAAATAAATATTGAGCAGTAAAAAAAACCTTAAAAAAGTTTGCGGTGCAGTGGCATTGGTTTTTAACAAAATTTGAAAAATAAAATTTACACAAGTGATAACAAAAAGACAGATCATGAAATAACTGTCGAGTGAAATGCTGGTGTTTTATTTGTAACAACATGGATAATCGCGGGAACGCACAAGATGAAAAATCTTGCATTTAAGTTGCATTTAATTTCTCGAGTTTAAATCTCAGATCATCAGCTTTACTCAGGATATGGTGACCGTGCATTTGAACCCATACATTTGCACCCGTATATCCGCGGGTTCAATATATATGAGGGTGCTAGTATGGATTCAAACAAACGTACATTTTTTCCCCCATAGGTGCAGTTGTCGTGGGTTCAAATTACGGGTTCAACTGTACGTGGGTTCAAATGTAATGGAACCTCAGGATATAATAGCTCTCCACATCTCATTGGTTGCTGATAAGGATGACAAACATGTCATAAAATAGTCTTGGCCTGCTACAGATAGGTATTCGAAGGCATGAAAGCTTCCGCTTCATGTGGATGGCTCTAATAGCAACATTTGTTCGATCGAAAATTTTGCAGGTGTACCTTCAGGAAGGCATGTGACGAGGAGTTAAATCTCGCCTCGTAGACGTATACTCGTAATCCCCGCGCAGTACTTTCGTTCTACCGAGCACTGGAGTTTATAAATAAATTCTGGGTTCGTTTAAAATGTTGTGTTCTTTTCTATTGTTTTTGATGTTCCGCGCAGACCTTTTTTTTTGGAAGCTCACATGGCCTTCTATTCCGCGCAACTAAGCAAGCTCTTAGAGGGAACGTTGTCCACCCCCCCAACATTTCTATCTTTTTGAATAAAAAAATAACACTGCTCATCGTGTCAAGGAATTCAAAAGTCAGAACCGTTCCCCTAACTAGCCAAATAGAATTAGTATTCCACTGTATGGATATCCCAATAGCCTCAGTTTAAATTAGGTTTAAAAATCAAAAAATGAAAACAAAAACAAATGATAAAAAAAAGTAAATTACATTAAAAATAGAGGCGATAAATATCATCTCATACAGTGACTTGAATGGGTAATATATTTCATTGAATTTCCCCATATTTCATTCACATTTTAAATTATATGCAATATGGCGATAAAATCTGACTACTGTATTTAAAAAAGTCAATGAAATTTTGCCGATAATGTAAGCTGGAAAAACTAGGGGTCAAATTGGAATGCCGGTCAATGTGAAATTTACTGCTGCCGTACTTGTTCAGAAATTCTGTATGTAAAATCCAAAAAAGAACAAAATGAGAGAAATGGCCGACAAATCCGAATACTGTAATAAATTCACTGAAATATGGTAATATTTTAGATTGGAAACAATTAAGGACCAGGTTGAAACGTTAGTCAATGTGAAATGTATTTCGGGCACACTTGTTTTGAGGATTTAATGTGCAAAACCCCCAAAAAATAGAAATTGAGATTTGACGGCAAAATCACGCAGATGACGATCTTGTGTGATGATAAACGTTCAATTTATTTGTCGTGTTATCGTTTATGACGTCACTTTGAATATGTTTGGCGAAAAAATTGAAACTTTCCGATTTTTTCAAAGAATTTCGACTCCCGGTATCCGACGTTTCACTTAATGGAATTCTTTGATAGTTTTTCTTTTTGCTGTGCTTGACTTCGTGTTCGTCTGTGCTCTGTTCGTCTGTCTCGGAAAGCATTTTGTCCTCGCTTCTGGAAGGTGGATTAGATTATTAAAATGATATTTGATAAAATGGAATTGTGGCGACACCGAAGCGTATAATCAAAAACTAAATCCCAAAAAAAACAGATAATACCAAAATTTAAATAATTGGCTAAATACTAATAAATTTATTGAAAAATGTGAATTTGTCATGAAACGGATATTTACTTCATTATTTTAGCAAAATTATGTTTGTAAAAACTTCATGAAGTTTTGATATACGTGTTTTTTAGACGTAGATTTTCTGTATTCTACATAGAAATTCATTTATCATAACCAGAAACATTGATTCTCAAATTATTTTGCTCAATATGTAAAGTATTGCAACACGGATTTCGCATGTTACTCCGCAACGTTGCAATTAATAAAAAATTAAAATGAGAAGAAATGAAATAAAAAAAATAAGTTTGTAGCCAGGAAAAAAGGTTCACCAAAAAGAGTAAACGATGATATTGAATAAGTGAAAGGGGTCCTATAACAGTAGAACAGTTGTAGAAGATGATAAGCATTAGCCATAACTTCAAAAGGCCGCATAAAATGAAATGTAATTCCGGCGTAACTCAACTATGAATTCAAATTATCACAAAGAAGGGTTTAGTCATATATAAAGATGAATTCAAAACCATACATAGTCGTTGACAATACGCATGAAATTGAAAAAATGAAATATTACAAAACGTTTGTGAATGTAAGTCAAGTTGGTGCGCTATTTGATTTGATTTGATATATCTTGTTTTGTCTGAAGCCGTTGAACTATGATGTAACAAAAGCTGAGAAATATAAGTACTAGCTATTTCGTTGAAGGAGGTTGTGTTATTTTTCATTTATTTTTATAATACTGACACATACGGATCCGAAGTAAAAAGTAAAAAAGGCGAAAGGACTTGCAGTGCAGTACACAATGCCCTAGTACACCCCATATTAGCTTTTTAAAACCTTGAAAATGAGGAATCACCCAATAAAATGAATAATAGCCCAAGCATGCAATGATTCCGACACCAATAGTTAGTTCTTTCAAAATTTGTATTATTTTGAGATAATGAATTGATGAATGATTTTGTCAAACATGCTCAATGTCCTTACTAGGTAATTTATTTCAGCTGAGCGTCCTCAAATGCCGACTACGATTGTTTCGGTTTTGAATATAAATGCGCCTGTAAAGTTTGGAGCAGAGAAAAGAATAATAAATCTGGCAACAGTAATCCAAATTTCCGATAATATTTCATTGCCTGTTTCATCTCGTGGTTTCGTAGGGTATGGGTTTTGTTTATGTTTCTTTGCACTATGTAATTTTAATAAATTATTATACAAGATGGGCCGGACGTATAGCAACCGGTATTTAATTAATTGTCTAATAATGACGAATAATACATGTATATACTTGATGTATGGTTAAAAATGATATAAGAAGCTGAATTTCATTAAAAATTATAGAACAATCTCCAATATTTCTTGCTATTCTAAGCGATTACGCAGTTGTTTCATGCACAATTTAAGCTTTCAAGCAGCCATGATTGAAAATGAAAATTGTTGCTGAATCGTTGATGAATTTGCAAATGATTGCATCACCATAATCAAATTCAAATTACAGCCGAAAATCAGGTAATTTGTACCTAGCAGTGAATGTGCTGATGACAAGTATTTTTCACAAAAACCCTTCCTCGTTTTCCATTTGTAACAAATTGAAAAAATTAGTCTACAGAAATCGGGCATAAGAAAATATAAAACATTAACTTATTTTAGAACATGATGCATAAAAAAATTCTTAAAGCGTGACGTTATGATAAATCATGACGTCATGCTATAAAACGTGACTTCATATTTAAATTCAAAACAGAGCTTCGAAATAGATAACAGCTTTAAAATATTTAATGGAGTTTGCAGGATAAAAATTTACAAGGAGCGACGTTATAATAAAATATGACGTCATGATATTGAATATGACGTCAGAATTTATGAAAAAGTGAGACTTAAGATAAGCTAGACAGCTACATCTCAGTAATACAAAGTACCAATATCATTGCAATATACGTACTTTGGTGTTTCAACTTCGGACGAAGTCTCTTCTGAATCTGGTGCGATATTAACTTGTAATGTAACGTCGAAACGTGATTTCACCTGTTCTTTTTCTTTCCCGCTATTTTTTCTAAAGAAACATAGAATACACTGTTTCACGGGGATCGCAGAATATAAGAAAGAAATGGAATTGAAAGGGGCATTAAAAGCGTTTTCCGAGAAAATTATTAATGTGCGCGAAATGCAATTTCCATTATTTCATTGGAGATGGGTGGGCACTCCAATGGTCGAAATATGAGAAATACGTTATTAAATTTCACTTCCAATTTTAATAGGTTGTAGTTATATTTTATATGTGTACCTTGCGGGTGACGTCACTGATGACGTCATTTTGCCATTAATTTCTATGCTGTACTCTTTGTTTTTCTTAACTGCTGATCTCCACTTTGAAGCAGGAGTTCGTTTCTTTGAATCGTCGCACGTGGCCTGCTAAATATGGAAATCTCGTGTAAAATATTAATCCAAATTAAACGATTCAAATTTTAACAGCTCTGTAAAAATACATTCATAACTTTGCTAATGTTGGTTGTCGATAACTCACTTTGTACAAGAATGATTACTGAATTACAAATTTACCGCCCAAACTTCTATTATAATTTTAGTCATCTTCAGGAAAATCATGTAACTCAAAAGTGGGGTTTCAAATATGGAGTGCCAATTGGTGCCGATTCAATACTAGTTCAACTAATTTGAATCCTTAATCAGACAAATATAACATGAAATAGGTATAAAAACGAAACTAACTCTCTTTGCCCTTGAAAGACACGGGGACGGTGTGTAAGGTGTAGATCTCGACTTTGAAATTATAGAATCTAATTCTGTTCGAAGTCGCGCTAAAAATAATAATTGAGTTCAGTTTTAAACAAGAAAAAAAAATTGAGGTGGGCCGTGCTCAAATAATACTGGCGTAAAATTGGCTTATGCAAAAATTTCAATTTTTCAGATTTTAATAAAGAAGTAGTTTGACTTGAATTTTATTTTGCTGAAACTCAACTTTGAACTATTCAGCAAACTTCAAAATGGCTATGACGTTTGTACGAAAAATCACAAATATTTATACTTTATAAGCATACAATACTTTCTAAAAGTATTTTTGCATTTTTTTTTAAATCCAAATCGTACAGATTCATATTTAAAATGATCCGATTAATTATCAATGCATTCTGAATCTTTACCGCGTCATATTAGGGATAAAATATTTGAAAGACAATGAATCTTAATTTGAAACGCTTTACAGAATATTTCAAAACGCGTTTGTTAAACACAGTTCCACTCTTTCTCTTATTGACTTGAGAAAAATTTGAAAAAAATGTTTGTTTGAAATAGGTTTGAATCTTACAATCTGCAGATGTTGAATCTGTCCCATTACTTTGTTTCTGTGTGTTGATCTGATAAATAACTGATCTCGATGCTGAACGGAATGCGTGAGTTACAGTGTTCATTCGTACTCTCTGAAATAAACAAAGCGTAAAATGAGAAAATTTATTCTCTGATCTTCCGTAAATGAATTAATTGGCTATTGGTGGGAAGACGTATAAAATTTTCTATAAACATAGCTATAGTTAAGTGCCCGAGTATATTCGTACTTAATCGTACATATCAACGGTTTATTATTACTTATCGATTTTAATCGGTAAGTATGTTGATAGGTATTTGTCTGTCTGTCTGTATGTTTGTATGTCTGTTTGTCTGTTAGATGCACGCGATATCTCACGAAACCGAGATTGAATCTGCTCCAGATTTTGCATGTGCGTTCATCTTATCTCGGACCAAGAGCCTATTGATTTTGGGCGAATTATGTCGTATGATTAGCGAGTTATTATTAATTAGTGATGGGACACAAGGTGTCACTATGGAGTAAGAGCGCTGTTTTGGGGGATCCCCTAACTTTCGATCGATAAGTCTTCGGTCTCTGACCGATATTCTTGTTTAATTTTTAGTAAGATTAAGACTTAATTGTTGTTGTATGGGCTGAATCAATAACAAATATAAAGCAAAAAAGCAAGAGAACTCCGTAAATCATTATTGGAGAATGTAATTATAATGTTTTGTGACTTACTGTTGAAAACTTTACACCTCATATTGGGTGATAATGCAAAGGTATGAAAGATCTCACCTCTGTAGTATTTCTCTCTGGAGAAATTAATATGATATAAAGTTTGGGGAAGAATATGCAACCAAGTATTCCAAACGTGGAAGCAAGTATTCCAATACAATAAACAGCCGTCTTCATCACACCTAAAAAAATACTAAAGTCAACTTTTGGTCAAACATCCATGTACGTAAAAAAACTTTTATGATCTCTATAGGAACTGTTTCCATTTTTTCTAAGAATCATCAATTTCAATAATTTTGTTTATTTTCCCATAGATTATGTTTTGGATAGACATTTAGGTGTAATTAGACAATGAGATAAACATTGAACATATTGCAGTACATCCTAGAAATATGTTATAATTGTATGTCTTATCTATTCTACTATGTTTTCTATAGTTTCTTTGACGAGTGTATGGTATGAAAGTAATAGGCACTTTCAATAAGTTGAGTCTTTTGCGACAGACAATTTAGAATCAACTTATATTATGCCCATAGAATTCCTCTGATGAACTATACAAAATAGAGTAGCAGAAAGAAAATATGAGAGTTTCTCAAAATAGATTCGATTCGAAAATTTGTCCCTGGTAAACCACCGATTCTGATATTTCTTTGCTATCTTTTACAGTATTAGCAAAAAGTTACCTGTTGTGCTTAAATACGCGGGTATGAAGGACAACCAAACGATGAAGAAAATCAACATTGAAAACGTTATAAATTTCGCTTCATTGAAGTTTTCCGGAAGTTTCCTTGCCCGGAAAGCAAGAATGAAGGCAATGAGAGCTAGAATAGCGAGATAAGCTTGGGAGCATATCATCAGCGCCAAACTTCCGGGGTCACAGACAACCAGAATTCTGTCAAATGGATCCTGTAAGAAAAAAATATGACAGAGATGAGATTTGAATTTCACCTATTGTCTGTAGGTATAGTATTCCAAGTGACTTGGTATGTATATGGTAATATATTATCCTGAACATAATGCCTAGAGATGTCATATTGTGCGATGAAAAAGGAATAATTGAAAATCTAATATAATGTTAATACTTATCATATTCAAATTAAATCCGTAGTCAAATGCATTGAGTGAACCAAGGAATTATGGTACTCCTAGTCTAAAGTCAAAATAAGGCGGTTTTCAACTGGTTTTATCTGGTTTTTATTCTACAAAACTGCATAAATGAACGAATGAATAAAATTTAGTTTATGATTCCTGTATTGTGGCATACCTTTCAATACAAGTAACGTAAGGTACTATTTTCAAGCATAATAAACAAGTTTGACGCATTAATTATCACCAACGACAATCATGCCACCTTGTTATACTTACCCCTAACAAATACAATCTATCCTTATGTGTTAGCTGAAATTTTAAACTTAAATTACCAAGCATGTTTCGTATGTTTAGTCGAAAAACGGAAAAATAAAAAAAAATGATGACATGGGAAAATGAAAAAAGAGTCAAAATTGAGCTCCTGTGTAAAAGTTGGTTTTAGTTAGGTTTTGAAAAATAAAATTAATGCCACGGATCGTGATATAGAAAGAGATTATTTCAAATTTACATGAAATAATGGAAGTTCCATTAATTGGATATATAAACGAAATAAGAATCCTTACCCCTTTCCCCCTGAATTGTATTTCAAACTCTCTCATTATTGTATATCTTCGAAATATTAATATGGATATACTAGTGAGGGTTATTTACTGTAGTTTGAAGCAAGGCGACAAGTCCTCAACAAAATTAAGAGAATACTGAGAGAAAAATCTAAAGTATATGTACTGTTTTTGTTCCACTACAGGGATATAGTCCGTACCTGGAACAATCCCATGGAGACTCTTCAGGAAACATTAGAGTACCAGAGAGCACTTGGACCGTTGCAGGGTTCAAGTATCAAACTATTATTTGATCTAAGAATTGGGAATATCTTTACTAATTAAAGTGTAGAAGCATCTGTAGATGAATATTAAGATGTGAGACAAAACTTAGCAAAAATAAATTAAATCCCGTATGCATGAAGAAAATAATCATGCTAAAATCATAAGAATGTCACCAAAAAAGTTTTAATGTTGATGATTAATAGGGAAAGGATGTGATTAGAAATTTATCCGATAAAACACCGATAACTTTCGAAATGAAAAGAACAAAAGCAGTTTATTGGTGGTGTTACCGTTTCTGTGACTCTTGGATAATTTTGTTGAATCCCAGTATCAATGTCCTGGTTAGATATTAATTGAAGTTAATGAAAATGTGAGTGTGTTTAAGAGTATTCATAAAATCATTAAATTTTTGGTGTAATTTACAGTTACTCATGATATTATAAAATCAAATTTGCCATTCAAAATAACTAGTCAAAGGTCTGCAATCATTTCAAACAACCGACTGAAGGTATCTGAAAACTTTTACTTGTGCACATATATAACTCTTTGTTAAAAATGAATGCGAGCGTGTTTGTCGAGCAAATTAAAAGATCAATCTCTCAATTAAAGCTGATTGGATAATAAGGCAGTAACTACATTTTGAATTGAAGGCGATAAAAAATTAGGTTCATTTCATACGCATATATAACTTTTATTTGGTATTTGACAACAATCGAGGACACAGAAGTCTCTGCTATCTAATACAAAATTGTATTTTTATTTGTATTTATTCATATAAATTCTGTTTTTGTTTTGAGAGGCCAGGGTCACGGGTACGGTCACCCTGGAATTGCAAATTGTTCTTAATTGCTCTCAAAACTATTTAGGTAAAGAAAGCCAAGGAATCACTATTGTACGACTAATAGCATAAGAATTCGATAACATCTTGATCAGAAGGCAATAAATAAATTAAACTATTATTGTTGTGGACAAGGAGATGTATCCAAGACAGGAATATTAAAATAAAAGTTTGATTATCATGATATAGGAGTGTTTTTGCACCATGATGATCACCAATTAATAACTTACGTAATCTACTTTGACGTCAGGTGGGTCGACCACAAGCCATGTTACACATATTGCCACTTGAACTAGAGCTACCAGAAGAACGACGAGAATTTGGAGATGTTCACCAAGCCATCGACTTCTCTGTAAAATATTGATATCGTTTATGTGGTATGAATGAATACGAGCTCCAAGAAACTGCCAAATCTAGTCTATTTTGCTAAAGGGCGATAATTTTAGTGGGCGTTATCACCATGCCCCCGTTGTTTTGAATCATTTCGTGACTAATTCTTATTTATCTTCATAATACTATCTCTTTCAAGCATCCTTGAGTCAACTGACAAATACGGATCCGAAGTAGGAAGGACTTGCAGTTCAATACACAATACCCTAGTCTAGTATATCCCATAATTCTACGATCACAGCTTATTTCGTCATTTTTTATTCAGGATAGAATACATTTGTAAGACATACCCCAATATTCCAGAAAGAGGTCAAAATTGATTATATTTCACTCCCTATTTCTAATCATATTCTTACTTTTCATACACTATAAAGTATGAATTTATACTTACTTTTCGAAAATTCAAAGGCATAGTTGTCTGAAATGCCGTCAGTACTCGGAGAGTTTTAACAAGGATTGATGCAACACAGAAGGTAAATGAGAGAATAAATGATATCTAAAAAAATATAGAAAAAAAATTAAAATTTGTGGGAAAGTGGGAGGTAGTAAACTGGTTTTTATTTTTGTCCACTAAGGCGCTACAATGAAAATTTACTGTAGACAATATTGCTTGTATTCTTTTATTTTTTTCCCGATCCCTGCTGATAGTGGCTATTTAACTTGGTTTGTGTTATCTCCTAAATATTATTAATACAATAATACCGAGTCAAATCGAGAAATTTCTTTGAATTTGAGTGGGCAACCGAAATATGTGTGGGTGGATGGCCAAATTTATTCAAAAATAGCTGCCATAGGTATCTAATAAGTAGTGTATAGTGTACATCACATAATTTTGGGCGTCAATTACTTGGCCATCCAATCAAAAAGGTAACAAATTATTTGATAGATTATGATTGTACTATGACCAGTCAATCGAAATGCGTGTAGGCGGCAAATTTGTTAGAAAATAGCTGTCATATAAGCATCTAATAAGTGGTGTCTAGTGTGCATCCCATAATTAAACTCCAGAAGTATGTGCACCAAGATGGCGGACACCGGAACGTCGTATATGTACCAGGTAAGGGTTAGGCCATAATTTGATTTCAATTTCCCTTATGTTATTTATATTACGAGTTCGGTGACTAGCTAAGTGACTCCCGTAGTATTTGTACCTAAAATTATGGCCTAGCCCTAAACTGGTACACATACGACGTTCCAGTGTCCGCCATCTTGGGGCACATACTTCCGGAGTACCCAAAAAGCTAACATATTATTTATTAGATTATGATTGTTACTTTTAACCATCAAATTGATAAGTATATTTATATATAGTTACTAACCTGCCTCCCACGACAAGTCCAATCTTGTGGTTTTTCGATGTAAATGAACGGTGTGGCGAAACAAAATATTAGAGAAAGAAATAACAGGAAACTAATTTCGACGTTCGTTGCTTTCACGATTGGAGTTTGGCGTTTCCAGAAAAAGATACCTTCAATTAAAAAATGAAAAATCTGCTAATTACGCCTAAAAGAGTACATAATTAAAAAATTCAATCTAAAAAAGCAAAAAACGGAGGAGTGATAGTAAAATTGCACGCAAGAGGCGATCAACTGATGTTTTTGTTTCGAAGGCTGAGATTTACAATTACCTAATTTAGTTTAGCTTTCGCTAATTTAGTCTGTCGATGATTATCGTTATGTAAGAAACAATGTGGGATTTATTGCACAAAGATATGCTGATTAGTGTAGCACATCAGCTGGTTCGGGGTACCAGACCAAAATTCACTCAGAACGTTGATTGCAACCAACTGGATAAGTGAAACACGCACTTTGAGGCGCCCTCACGTGAAGAAGATGGAGGGAAAAAAGATTGTCACTTAGTAAGTGACGAAGACAAGAAAAACATTAAGATATCTCACCTGCTGTGAATAGAGTTAGTGCAACACCTAATGTACTAAGACAAGCAAAAGTTATTCCATAAGCGTCGTCCCATTTCATATAGTCCTCTGGCTTTGAAACGCAATCTGAATTGAATATAATCATTAAAAGTGCATTCTTTTTAAGTTTCTGTTTTGCAATAGTTTAATATTATGATATGTGTAATATCAGATACGAATATTGAGATTAGCAAGATGATAAATGCTAACTGAAGGGCGCTCCGCAAGTGTGCGTTGCAATATGGAGATAACTAATTTTGTTCGCCTATTTTACATAAAGCTGTGTAAATGGCCTGAACCTATGGGCAGGGGGTATATTCACTTGGCGAACACAGACTTACCTTAAAAATTCATCAAGCTTGATTTACTGTAATATAATCAAAATTTCCCTTTGGCCATTGGCAATCACGCCTATAGGAACTAAATCTAAAGTTTATTTTAACGTACAAAATGATGTTCAATATACTTCAATTTTATTATGAAATTTCATTATTTTATCTCAAGTTTTTATTAAATGTTATTAGGAAAGTCATTAATTAGTACGTGACGGGAGAATGTGCCCAAGGATCCGAAATATTTTATTTTTCGTTTGATACAAAAACATATTGATGACTTTATTCAGAACAACGAATCAAAATAGACGTATTCAATTTATTTGTTAATGTCATTAAAAAACTCTTTTACTAGTAAGTGATGGGCGGAGATGTCCAGGGTTCCGAAAACAGCCTATTTAATGTTTGATGACATTATTCAGAACAAACAATCAACATAATGTACTTCCGAAGTATGTGAAGCAAGATGGCGGACACCGGAACGAAGTCTGTTCACCAGAATAGATTAAGCCCTAATTTCAGGTACAAATAATACGGGAGTCACTTGGCTCGTCCCCGAACTCCTAATATAGGCTAACTAAAATAAGGAAAATTGGAATAAAATTATCGCCTAACCCTAACCTCTTACACATACTACGTTCCGGTGTCCGCCATCTTGGTTCACATACTTTGGGAGTACTCAAAATAGTCATATTTACATTGTTGTACTCACGTGTCCTGTTTTCGTTCGCCATTTCCGTTATATGACATTTGTTACAGACATCAGCGTTGGTGTAATTACTGTATTCGCCAATTGGACAAGGAATACATTTGTGACAACAGTCACTAGCTAGTTTGACTCGATAAAATCCTGGCTCACACGGATAACTGCAGATTGATATAGGTATCTGTAAAAATGAAATAATTATATTCATAATGAAAAAATGAAATGCATTTTATTCCATTGTCGGTGGATTCAAATTTGGTCAAATTCTTGGACACTGAAATCCTAGTTGTATCCTACTAAAATGAATAAAAACAGAATTATTTTCTACTTTATATGATTATCGAAAGACGACATCTGAGAGCTTTGAAATACATTTTTCGACTCAGAAATCGGACCTCCAGAAGTATGTGCACCAAGATGGCGCACAACCTGAAGAGAGTATGTGTAACAGATTAGGGTTAAGCGCCATCTTGGTGCACATACTTCGGGAGCGCCCAGAAATCAATATGTTCAAAAATAACTGAAAACAATGTTCGACAGACGTATGTACCTGGGGACCATTATTTTATCTAATCTTCAGCTTTTTTTCTTATTCTCATTGAATTTTGTATGGTATGACTATGAAGGGAATCATCGTAAATACAATTTTTTGGGGATTGTACATTTAGTTCTGAAAACAATTAGCTAACACTAAGCCACAAATAACAGATAGTAAGGCGGAAGTAAGTTTTATTCAAAAAACACAGTGAAGTTACGTAGATGCAACGTAAATAATGAAATAAATGAACAATTTTTAAATGTAAATATCCAAAATAAGGCGCGGGCAAAATCAAATCTAACAAATATTTTCTATTTTAATTAGCTGCACGTCCCCTCAAAACATTGTCTACATCCCCTTGTGGGGCGCGCCCCACCGTTCGAGAACCACTGCACTATTCAATAAACTAGAAAGTACCTCCGACGTCTGTGTTCCGTTACCATCATGCCAGAAAATTGCTCCAGTGTTTAGTGACCATGGGTTCGACTTCTTTTTAGAATAATTTCCAACGTGAACGAACTCAACATCATCTTTTGAGGTTCCATTCGGAACTGGTACCCAACTTACTAATTTGTATGTTGCGTTTGGATCTCCGTTTGAATCAAATCCGAACTAGGGAAAAATATATTAAAAAATGTTACTTTTTCGTACCTAAAATTATGATTTTGAACAAAACTTCTAATACCATACTTAACTCAAAGATGTTGAAATTTACTATATAATTCTATGGCGCAGTATAAATGACAGACTCTAGAATATATGAAACTCATTTTCCAAAAACAATCAGAAAAAATCTGTCATAAATATCATAAGTATCATCTTTAATTGAAGGAATACAGGAGCATAAAACCACATTACGAAACCTACAAAACAAATAAGCTTTCAGTAAGAAACACATGGCATACAAGTATTCTGTTCCATGCCATTTATTGATTTCGGAAGAATGACTTATTCGAATGTTACCATTTCGTCCAGACCCGGTGATTGGAATTCAACTTGTTTCAGGTAGGACAACAACTGCCAAGGTTCAAGTGTTGAGATATCTGGACATTTTCCATCCTGTGAAAAGTTGCAAGTAGAATTGAAATTAGAAATGGGGTAATGCTTAGTTAGGTTACTATGAACTACCTTAATTGTAACTTGATTTAAATTTTAAAGGAATATTTATCAGATTATATTTAAAAATTACCTTCATCAAATCATTGTTAAATTATCTGAAACAGTTGGTAAAACTTTAATTCGTGTTACCGTTTATATGAAACTTTTTTTTAAAATATAATTAATTTTTTTCACTAGTCATCATATCAAAAATAATATACTAAATAATATGTAGGGTGGTCGCTAAACAACAGAAAATCTGTCAAATAGCTATCTATTTTTACAAAGAATAATTTTTACAATTTTTTTTAAAGGCATATGTTATATTACACTCATAGGGTTATAGATGTCGTTTGTGCACTTCGGAGCAGTGTCTTAACCTAGAAGTCCAAGCTTTTTTAGCATTTTAAAGGTTACTTGTGAGATATCATTCAAACTATATCTATAAATATATACGCAATCCATTCGGGATATTGTCTGACATTCAAATTTTCTGTTTTTCTAGCGACCATCATGTATATTCATCTGTTATGCAAGCAGATTGTAAAAATTCACCTTCAGTAAACCAGATCCATTAATGCAAGATCTAATGTTCTGAAGAGCATGTGCAATTGCATACACTGCAAGATAAGCAGTGTAACTCTTCTCCAACTCACTCTCTGTCCATTGCAGATACGGGTTATCAGGCACCGATGAGAAGTCCTCATCGCCAGTACATGGTGGCAGGGATGTTGTAACTTCTGTTTGAATAGAATTTTATAATTTCAATGAAGTGGTGAGATTCAAAATTTTAGGAACGGGTTCTCTTTTGTATCGAATCCACGAACAACAGGTTCCGTCATTTGAGGAAATGTGTTATGTCGATGCGTAAGCTGCATTAACATGGCATGCTTTACATAATTAATACATAACTTTCAAAACGAAAAATATAAAGTTAGTCGTCAGCTGCGATACACGTTACATATTTGGGGCGGTCGTCTAACGCCTACAACCAAAACTGAGAATGTTTCGCCCGTTATTAAAAACATTCTAGAAACGCGCTAACCACCTAATTTCGCAAAACTACTCCGAACTTATAGTCATATCACTGTACGCAATATTTACTAATGTACGTCATTACGTTCATCACACGTTTTTGCATAAACTTAATGGAAAGGTCGAGAACCATTGCTTTAAGGGAACAGCTTAACCAAATGGACTATATAGAATAGGCCCAATGGTGGGATTCAAATTTTTTGTCAGCCGGTTTTATCACAAAAATCATATTTTTTAGTGAATAAACCAGTAATGCTGACCGGTTCGCTGATCTCATAAAATTCCGTGAGACCGTTCTATGGAACCGGTGTGAACCGTCTGAATCCCACTACTGGATAGGCCTACTTACCAATTTCCCTTTTTTTTCTCGAAGCTTCTGGTGCTGTACAAACATCAGACATGCAAGCACAGTGAAAGGTTTTCTCCCAGAATTCCGTAATGAAGGGATTTGTTGGCTGGGTTGATGGCGATACCTGTAATTATTAAACCAGACAAAGCTTCACTCATATTGTTTGTTCATGAAAATTAAATTTGTCCCATCAGCGTTCATAGATCAGAACAGCTTTAAAGATATTGGTATTTTATTAATTTATTATAAAATTTATAAACCCAAAAAACCTATCCTATTTCGTGATGATTTTAGAATTACGAAAGCAACGCCCAATTATATGAACACGAAAGTCGTCCATCGGTACCGGTACAGCAAGGACAAAGGCTCCTAGTTTTAAAAAAGTTTTAAAAAAGTAAGCGACTTTTTACGTCTTTAAGTAAGTTAGTTAGTGAATTTGAAATTGATTAGCCCACTAGTTGTGTGGAAAAAGTTATTTTCTTCTTACACCAACAATCCTATTACAACAACAATAATTAAGTTAGTGTCCAAAAATAATTTACTTTTGATATGTATAACGTCTATTTTCTGATTAAACTTTGTGGTGAGTTTTATCGTAACGAAAACGTCTTCAAGGGATTTTCTAAAACAAACAATAAAAATATAACAGGTAAAGAAAATAGACGTTACTTTACCGATTCCAAGAATTCCCGAAATCCTTTCATCGGCCCGCCTCTTGTGGTTATGCCAAGAGTTCCGTGCATAATTGAACCTGAAAACGGGGAATTCCAACAGTAAATAGCCAACCAATACACAAACCTCTGTTAACAGCTCTAGTCACATTGAAATTGTCCGCAATTCAAAAGGGGAAATACGCGATTTATTATGCGCTCTTAGCGCGGTAATATAAATACTTTTTTAAACGTATATAACAAAATTTAATATGTTCGTGTGCCCAAATATTTACATCGGAAAATTACTGCGACCGTTTTCCATCTTAAAAAATCTTAGGACAGCGGCACAATGTCGCGGGCTAAGCCTTTGATATTTACGATAGTTGTAACGCTATTACACTTGAGTTCACTGAAAATTTCACAATGACTTAACTATTCAGTGCAATTGTTTTTCATACTAGCAAACCTTTTTTGAGTGTGTAATACAAAAGAATGAAGATGGAAATATTATGTTTTTATTTTTACAATATTATGTCTGTTGAAAATTGAAGCTTACCTCCAGTCTCCAACATTTTTCTTGACGTTGCCCAGGCCTCACTCGCGATCCAAATTTTATCACGGACTCCGAGTTCTTTTAATTTGGCGACAAGTCTTGTAAGATGGCCTCCACTGCTAAACAGGACGAACACGGTCGCATTGAAATTTTGAATTTTTTCGGCAACCTCATGGATCTCGTGATCTTTCATTCCCTAAACAGAAAATTCGTCTTAGGAATGATTTCTAATTTGATGGTAACATTGTTACTTTGAGTCGTGAGTCTAAATTTTGTTGATAACTCGTTTCGGCAATTAAGCTATAGGGCAATCAGTGAGAAACGCTGTTTATTGGACAAAAGAAAAAGTAATTAGTCATAAAATAAATTAAAAAAAAATTCCATTTGAATAAAATGAAGAAATTGGTTATTCATATTATTGTCTGTATTTTCATTGATTATATTAAATGATATCAATTCAGTCTAGTAAAAACTTGCTTCAAAAATGTTTTTTAAAATTTTTTTATATGTTGATTAATGCGTTTTTTTGAAAAATTATCATTATAAATTGATAATGTGTTCGATAAATATCATCCTACCTTACTAATATACTCGACAAACTCTACACAGATTCCTCTGTTTCCGGCTTCCTCTTTAAACTTAGTAATTCCGGGTCTCCCGTACTCATCATCACCAGCAATAGCACCGACCCAAGTCCAGTTATAGTACGCCAATAAGTCGGCTATCGCCGTTGCTTGTTCGTTGTCATTGGGTATGGTTCGGAGAAAAGAGCTGAAATAAATGTTCAAATATTATAGAAAGGCACAGGCATGTTTGCATAAACAAGGATAATAGCTGAGCCTGCGATAAAGTCGATCAAAAATTGCAAATTGGTAGTATTATGAATCGGTTGTAAAGCTATACAATTTACTTTAACCTCATGTACACATTCATATATGTAGTAATTTTTAACGTCGTGTGTTTAGAATTGGAAATATACCAAATATTATGTCGTAACGACAAACTCATAGGCGAGGTAGAAAGTAGACTTTAATCAAATGTAGCATGTCCAAAATTATCAGTATATCTGGAGTTATATAGAATATAATAATATATAATATAATCTCGAATTTACCCTTTATGGAATGGAATTCCAAATCTTGATTTAAAAGTTGAAAATATAATCTAGATAATTTAGATATTATTCCATCGCTTTTTCCATTATTATACGCTCAAATGCGCTCCATATTGCATATACCATAAATGCAAAACATTTCCCAACACAAGTATCACAAATCCCATAATAACGTGGCAAGTAGAGTTTAGTGGAATTTACCCATATTCTGCTCAATATGTTGAATTCTATGATACAATTTTGCTCGGAAGGCTTACTTGTAATTTACTTTGTCGCTCAGTGTTCTGCTGGTTGATCCGTAACTTATCTGTGGAATATCAAATACGCCTAATATATTGGCAACTGCAACAGAATTATCTGAACTTGTGGGTCCTACGACAACGTTAACACCTGAGAATATAAAGACACGAATTCAGTGTTTTTACACTGTTTTGTTTTTGAACAAGAAGCGAAGCTATGGATCGTGTTTTTATTATATTTTTGTTTCGAATAAATTGCTTTTATCTTCAATTACTGGACCAATTACTTTGAGTGGCTAAAGTGTGTTGTTGTCGCTAGAAGGCGATCGCTTTTATTTATTTCAAAAATATCTGTGGGCTCTATAAAATTTGCTTTATACTTCGAAGTTTCGTGTGATAACGTCATCAAAATTAAAATAAAGTGACATGTTCCCGCGATATGGTGGTCAGAATACCGGTACTGGTACAGAGTGGATTCTACTTCGTTTTGGCTTTCGTGTTCATATATTTGCCGAAATGATGAAGTTGTAACATACGACAAGAGGTGCTCGCCGATTTATTTTCTTTATAATGGATTTATTTTTAATATTATTGTCATTAACTTTTCTTATAATTAGTTTCCAAAAGAAAAATGAATGAAAATGTTTTCCGATTTTCTTCATTTTATCAGTTCATTTCAATAAAAGCTTTTTCCCAAACTGGAATATCTTTGGAACCCCACTCCACACGGCATGTAAAAGAACAGCTCGAAGTTACCGGAATGGAATACATTTCAACGAAAAAATCGTGAATGTTTTCATTGCATCATTTTCTTTCAATCTCTTTTTATTTCCCTTACTCATACTCACTAGACGTAGTATTCCCTGCATGATCTCTGGCGATTGTCATCGCTTGTGTGACAGCCCTTGATGTTGTGTCACAAGTGTCAAAGAGTTTCCATCCGAGATTTATTCCATTAAGTAAATTCGTACTGAAATATATCAACGGGAATTGTTAATTTTGTTTTTTCAACTAATCCAGCAACACTGAATGATTCAAGAGTCTTGCTACACACTGACACAAATATAATTCTGCCACACTTTACTGTACATGCAGTGGTTGGATTCGAAATTTTAAGAAAAACTTTTCTTTTGTATCTAACCCACAAACAACACGTTCGAGCATTTTCAGAAAATCATGCCGATTATGGCCTTGTAACTATACACCACATGGTACTCCCAAAGTATGTGAACCAAGATGTCGGACACCGGAACGTAGTTTGTGTACCAGGTTAGGGCTAGGCCATAATTTTATTCAATTTTTTTTAAATTTTTGTTCTATTACGAGTTCGGGGTCTAGCCAAGTGATACCCGTAGTATTTGTACCTGAAGCCATGTCCTAATCCTAACCCGGTGCCCATACCACGTTCCGGAGTCCGCCATTTTGGTTCACATACTTCAGAAGTACCCACCATATTTACTAATCTATGTTACTATGTAAGCTACATTACCATGGCACGCTTTAAATAAATCTAACATATATATATAGGGCGTGCATAAAATATTCAAAATTGCAAAGGAAATTTATCGATGCCATATATATATATATATTGTTTTGGCTCTCATAGATGTAATAAATGAAGTGAAAATACTTAAACAATTACTGATTGAAAACAACAAACTCGGTTAAGATATAAGAACCGACTCCATAAAAAATTTGAAATTGTAAAGGCTGAAGGGATCGTATGAACACCTTGTATAACCTTCGACGAAACGCCAAATATAACGTTAGTCTTCAGCTCATGATGGGTTGGCTCAGTGTCAGAACATTTCAAGAACGGATTTGCGCAAATCTCCTGAACCCTACAGGATATATTACATCAGCCAATTTCCACAAAATTAGCACAAAACATGCATAGCATTTGTGAGATTATTATGTCGCAGCGACTGTATACACGGACTTTTTTCCAAAAATAATTTAGATTCAGCTTCTAACCTGTTGTTTATTTCATCAATGGCAAACAATAAAGCTTGCATCCATCTGAATCCGCGGAAGAAATAATTCGTGCAAACTGGAACTGTAGGTTCGGATTGGAGACTGAAAATAAAACGGTTAAGAATATAAATGATTGAGGAGTCCCAATTGCTATTTTGAACCGCTTTCAAGAAAAGCTACTGGGATACCAAATAGACAGCAGATTTTTTTAGGGCAGTTACACGCAATACACTGTAATAAACGGTCACAATTTGAAAGAATGATAATGGAACAGTAACTTCGCGGCCATCGCAGTAACAAGATATATGTGGTTTAGAAAATTGACTGAGCGCAGCGTGGGCGAAATCTTATGAAACGATTATTTTTTAAAATCCCATATTTGTCAATTTTCATTTTTTGAATTAGAATGAAATTTACAACCATGTACCTCATAAGTATTATTCGATTTAAAGTGGTGAAATTATTTTCTTCTGGCCCAAGATTTGAAAAAAAAACATAATAATTCTGACGACTACCTGTAATCATCTTCTCTATGGATGCTGAAATGGAGAGGGAACATCCCCGCTATGATGACGTCACCATTTTGATAATATGACGTAGGTTCTGACCAAGTTGCTGACGTAAAACACAGTGATAGAGATAAGTATACAGCGATAGTGAGGACGGTCATGTTGAATATAAATCTAGTCTATAGTCATGACAAAACTGACAGTCGTTATGAACTATATGTAGTAATCAATGAAACAAAGTTTGTCATCTGAAAAATAATACATCAATAAGATTAGACAGGGTTGTATTTAATTGATTAGCTAATTGTATTTGTACATTTGTCATCGTCTATGCTACTCTTTTACCTGTTTAAAATAAAACTCATGACTGGCATACGTTTATCGTTCTAAACTTGGCTATTGTACGCAAATTCCGAATTACTAAACAGTCCGTGACTACCCTAAGTTCTTATTAGTTTAAGAAGCCTTTTCATAGAATGTTTTGAATACCTATTCTGTGAATGTAGTATTATTGGTTGAGAATCTTACGTTCATTGCAGAACCTTACGCGAGAGAAGATTTCTGGACCCCTCGCCGTCGTAGGGTGGTTCACGTGACCGCTGGTCGGCCACGGCTTCCTCCACCATCAAGTCCATGCTTCCGAAAACAAACAACTGGCTAACTAGTCCCATACCCGACATGGACTGGTAAGATAATCTTTTTTACTGGTTGGAAAAAATAAACTTGACTTGACTTAATTTTTGTTGTTGTTGGCACTTCTCAATGAATGCATTTCGTGCAGAGCAAATAATATTCACACTTTACATAAATATAAGATATTCACAGTAATATTATGTCGTTCAAGCAACTTTGCGGTATACCCACTACGGACCCAGAATAAACTTTAAATCCCCTAAAATCTTGATGATTTAAAATAATTTAAAAGTATGTCAGCCGTTTCAATAAATCTCGCGTTCGCGTACTACTACTTCAAGCTTATCTCGACTATCGAAAAGAATTTCAAGTTACAAACAAATCATAGCACTGTTCATAATGACAGGCATAGAAATAGCTGAATAGTCTGAAAATTTTGTATTTAAAAATCCTTTGTGTTTGCTATATAACCAGTCTTTACTGTGATGGGATGGGCAACGACGGGGCGTATAACGATCAGCAAACAAAAACGTGTAAAATCAGTGAATGAAACATTTTTTAAATAAATTCGACATCAGTTCATCTATTGTTATTGTTGTAACATATTTCTATTTTGACAACGAATTTGAGACTTCGCTTCCATGAAATGCAACATTATTTAGTTTTAAGTTTTGGTTCTTAAGTTTCTTTAGTTCTTAAGTTTTGAAAACTACAAATGGATGGGTTCACAGTGGTCGTCATTGAAGATTTGTTAAAATTAATTTTTTTGCCTTCTTCCATCCACTTTAAGAATGGGAATAGTTAATATTGTTGAGTATCAAATCAGAGGGAGAAGCTAGGCCCGAAAAAAAGACAGGCCTGACGCTTTTTAAACAGAATCGGCCAAATACAACTTTTGTTGTTAGGATGGTTGCCAATGCTTCATGAAGTTTATCTAGATATTTGAAATCGAGTCCTAAAAAATTAGCTTGTATAAAACTGCAAATATGAAATTAAATATCTTCAGTTGACAATGAACGTATTTATTAGGTTCAAGCATTGTGTAACGAGAAGGTACTGCCAATTTCATGGAATAAAAGGCGGGAGTGTAAAATCTCAGAGAAAAGATTTAGTGTAGTATAATTGTACATTAAGGGCGTATCTTTCGTAAATATTTTCAATAAGTTATGAAGCAAACTTGAAGAGACGGATGTTGTAAAGCTCGTTCGATTTATACGTACTTGGAACAAACAAATAGACTTTATTGGTGTTAAACCAGGGCGCTGTTTGCGGGTTTTAAAAGTAAAGAGTAGCATTCAAGGTTTATTATATTTTACCAACGCAGAATATTGTACGGCAAACAGCTAAATAACTATGGATTCGTACTCGCACGCTATACGAATACACAATTCCAGCCATTGCTGTAACCATTTTGTGAATTCAATTCCAAATTTACCTTCATGTTCAAAAAGTGGGTTTTGCAAAATATTTGCAGTAAGTATTTAGAATAATAGGTGAAGACGCGCAGGTTTGGAATAAAATCGTGTCTGTGGACAGGACTTACGGTTTTTTCATTAGGGTTTAAAAATTTCACACCTCATTCATTCCGACTAGAACAAAATTAAAAGTAAATCATAAATTAGGTGGATATCTTTTTTACAGAAGAGTCAATGTTAGATATAATATAAATATTTGAAATTAGATGTATTAGCAATCACATCAAGAAATGATTTTATGCAAAAATCGATGTCCATGGTTATGTTAGACAAGAAAGATTGAAATGTTTACATTTGCATCAATCAATGCTTTTTTTTAGTTTTCCGCACGTCACGTAGAAATGAAGTATCGATTTTAAGTAACGTATTAGTTGCATTTTATTTAACTCAAGCTTTTCATCTGTCGATCGAACAATCTGCTATCTTAAACAAATATATTTGTCACTGAATAAATTGAACACCGGACGTGTGATTTATCAAAATTGAAAGTCTGTACAGACAAGACATTCGAAACTGTATATACCCAAGGGTGACCTTTTGCAAGAGCACCTGTTTTCGGCCACTAGAAAGAAGGGAGATCATAGTTGTAACTCGTATTAGATTAAAAATATCAAAAATACAATCGATAATGAAACAAACGATACTGAGTGTGCGGACCGTCTTTATTATACTATTATGAACATTTAAAAAGCCCAAAGCTTCTTGAATTTCTGTAGAAGATATTGAATTCGATTATCACCATTTACAAGTCTAAAATTATCTACTCTTCTCTTTCAAAAGAATTCCAAATTTGTACTCCGACTTGGGGGTTTGAAGATACGACTAATCTGCACAGTTATGTAAAACATTGCGAATTTGAATACACACAACATACGCAGTAAGTTGCCTGTGAGATACTCGATAAATGTATTCAAGTACAAGCACGCGTAGACCTCACGCAGACACTTTGGTCAAAGTAACAATTCTAATAAATACGGGGTGGTCGCAACAAAAGCGGAAGATTTGCAAGTCAGATGAGATAATGAATAAAATGCGTATAGGTATAGGTTGAATTAGAACGATATCCCACAAGTTAAGCTTCAAAACGCTACACGAGCTTAGACTTCCATATTAACCCACTGCTTTGACATGTACAGACTGCATTTTGATAATTTTCGAGCGTGATATAATATATGACTTGAGAAAAATGTAAAAGTTATTCTCATTAAAAATAAAGAGTTTTTTGACAATAATCTGTTTTTTTAGCGACTACCCTGTACAATACAGACAATCAATCACAAGTTGAGAACGAGTCGAAACCTAATGCACCCCATATACACATTGCCAAACAATTGTTTTACTAGAACTATTTACAGTCAAACTTTTTTTATCTCAGTATTGTCTGTATATACAAAATCGTATCCTATGAGTAGAGTAAGAAATGAGAAAGACTTTATATATTGTGTAAGGTTGGTGAAGGGAATCAGAATTACAGTGCAAGCGATCTGCAGTCTTGCTTTGTTCTATATCAGTACAAATGCTTGTGCAATTCGCGGAATTTCGTGACCTTTATAAATACCAATCAATTGAGTGTCAATGAACCTTAATGAATGATGATTGTTAGAACAAAGGAAGTACTTGGAATTGAACAGGAAATTTCAGAAAGATAGAACATGCCTCATTGCTAACACGTTAAGAACAAAACCATCAGGTAACCAAATTGAAATTGTAGACGGACTCGGTTTTGTGGGCACGAACCCACACCACACCACACCGTCCCGAATGTGAAACTACAAGCCCAATGCGGGATCGAAACCATTAATATGAAGAAGTTTGAACAGAGAATTGAAAAGCAAGTCAAATAATTTTTTTTAAACTTATGCGGTGATATGGGATATGTTTAAAATATTTTGATGATATTTATTCAAAGATCTCGCAATCGCCTCTTTCAAATTGCACATACAATACCTCAATCCACATACAATTATAATATAATACAATCCTTTAAATTAACTGAGCTGAGAATCAGGTCTCTTAATTTAATTTGTTATAATATTATTCTGCGCATTAGAATATATCCTCATAAATCTATGCAGCGGATATACGAAACCTTGATTTTTCAATTGATGAGTACTCAATACATAGCAAATCGGGATTCTGCCTTTACCCAATCCCACCTTGCAGTTAAAAGCTCAAACATACGATTACCATGACCAAAACACAACATTATAAATCTCGTTTTCTACTGGTGTATAACCTGCTACATGACGGCCTTTCACAAGTTATCTGCATACTTCATTACCGCAAGATTTATACTGCCTCTTTTTCGCAATCTCTCTAGGCGTAAGAAACAAAAACCATTGCCAAAGTAAGAATAAAAATAGTTTGTTACTCTGGTTTATTACCGATTTGTCATTTGTCAATATACTTATTAAAAAAACGCATAACTAACTTGAATTTTACTGTGTATTCAGCTGACAAAACTCCGTAATTATATCGTATCCAAGCAAACCTGTTTTATTTCTCAGTAATCGTTCAGAATGAGAATTGCGATGGAAATACTTAGATAATTATTACTTTTGATTGCTGATTGCATTTACTTTGAAATTTTTGTCGAATTCATTGATTTTTAAACACGGCCGTATAGACAATGCAGGTCTACGTTCAAAAAATACAGACGAATTAAAAATGATGAAAACATCACGTTATTTAGTCACGAGATTAAAAAATAACTTAAAGATTCTATTTTGACGCAACAACGTAGCTATACGTAAACGCACGAGGTCTATGGACACGATAATTTTATGTCTATTTATGGAGATTTTGTAGTTTTACGTATGCAGCAATGGCATTCGTGGGAAAATATAGTTAAGATATGCAAATCTAGTAAGACGTTTTTGCAGACAATTTTAGGAAAGACAAAGACAAAGTAAGACATAAAAAACTATATTCTGCCATGGAATGAAAGAGGCAGCAATTCACGTTGCAGCATAGAGTAACGATATAAACAAAGCAGCTTAGTCGAACGTGCCAAGCTTTGAAAAAGAATTTTTTTTTCAAATATTGAAAAAGAATCGGATGCCCTGGCCTAATCACCAAACGCACAAAATAAACTCATTTAAATAAACGTGGAATAAAGCAACTTCTAGTCTTTCTCTATCCCATTCCTT